ACATCCTAAAATATTGGAAGAAGCGAGTTCTTCTTCACGGTACGTTTATGACACGTCCGCTAAATATGGTTTGGGGATGCCTGCGAACACCCCAGGTATAAATGTGCACACTGTCACCACGTTTTGTAGGCAGTTCTAATTGTGCGCCCGTCTTGTGAATATCGTCTAAAATATAATTTTTTACCTACCTTACTCCACACGAGTCATTTATTTAATATAACCCCTCAACAAAAATACATTAAATACCTATACACATTATCCGTCGAATGTAGAGGGAGAGCCACCGTTTGGTTGCCAATTGTTTATCACATAGGGTCAGCCTACCTCCACGTAAAAAAAAAAAGAAAAAATGTAGGGTCGATTCCACAAGTATCAGTAAAATGTAGGGTCCATTCCACTAGTGACAGCAAACAGACTACTGACATTTGTGGAATCGACCCTACATTTTTTTTTTTTACGTGGAGGTAGGCCTACTCTATGTGATAAACAATTGGCAACCAAACGGTGGTTCTTCCTCTACATTCGACGGATAATGTGTACTGGTATTTAATGTAATTTTTTAGCAATTTGTTTTTGTAATTCATCCAAAGCGATATATTATGAAATTAAATTAATCACTCAATAAGTTTTAACGTTAGAATTGTTTCCTCGATATGGCCATGGTGGTCATCAGTGACTGGAGTGCCTCAAATGTTTAGAATAATTAAAATAAATGTTGTCAATTAAAAATTTTGAACGTCGTAGCTAGCTAGACATTATTTTCAATTGAAAAGAAAAATTATAAAGCATAATACTATAATCCTATGCTTAAAATGTATTTTCTTGTGGCCGCCTGACAGCAACCTGTAAATCTGGCGCGACAGTGAACGTGTTAATAAGTAAATGTTGTTCAAATTATATCGTGTTTGATATCATTTTTATCAGAAAAATCTCACCAACATGTTAAAAAAAATTCCAGATGAAAAAAAGTAAAATTAAAGAAATTATATTTTTCTATTATGATTTTTCGAGATCTCGTAAAGGAAACCGACTGGTGTAGCGTTACACGCTAGACTGACTGCGAGCGAGATAACATGGGCGCAGTAATGACGCAGACCTAGGCGTAGGACCATGTATACTGTCACTTGTAGAATCCAAACTTACTGACTCTTGTAGAGAATTTACTGTATAGGTTTACAAAGCAAATCTGAAGGTTCTAACGCGCATGCGTCTGTTGCCGTTTGAGAGGAAGTTCTGGTATATAGTCAGACGAAGCAAACTTGAGGCTTCAGGCGTGTCTTACTCAAGAAGTGAGAGATATAGGAGAAATTGTGACGTTTCGCTGTCAATCAACCAATAGCGACAGGCCAAAGCTATCACATTTACTCTTACGTCTTCGCTGATAGCCTATCACGATAGAGTAAGGCTGTTGCATTTAATCTTTTGTGAACGGTAGATAACGATCGAGCCTCGTGTGAGCAGTCGGTAATAGATGAACAGTTGATAATTAACAGCAGTGAAAATTTTATGTACGTATTCCGAAACAGCATTTCTCGAGCTTTAAAATGAGCCCAAATTCGAAGCACAAACGAGGTGTAGAATAGATTTAACATCTTATGGGATTTTGTGTCCGCGGAACGAGGGCCGAGAGAGCCCTTACCATTTTCGTGTCGCTTCCAACGTTACCGACTTAGGATTGTAATTCCTAAACTCGCCGCTTCAAATTGTAGAGGGCACGACAGTGCCTCGAATTAGTACGAAATTTTCGTGTTCTCGGTAAAATGTTTTCTATACACAAATAAATAAATCGAAAATGAAGAATAAAATTCGTTTTTATAAAGAATCGTTTTCAATTAACGTTTGAAGAAAATGTTTAGATATATTTGTATTTGTTGTTTATAATTACAGACAGTTATATCTGAATGTAAAAATTTGCATTGCTAAAATAATTTCTCCACCCACGTAAACAATTATATTAATTTTTGCAATTCTATTACGTGTCTTGTTTTATGGTGCGTACACACTGCAGATAAAAGTAAGACTTCACGTTGCTGTTTGTCACTTTCATACCGTTTTTACTTGAATATGTCATCTGTCACTTTTTAGATATAACTTATTCTATTTTTATCCACATTATTCCTCATATTCTTGCAAATCATTTTCAATGCGCGATAAAAAGATAGAAAAGTCAAACATCGTTATGATCTTGAATGATAACAATCTTTGACTCAATTATTTACAACTGCATTTTAATTTGTTTGAAAAAACAAGTTGAAGCAAGAGCTTTGCTTACAAATATTACTAGAACAAAGTAATTTGCAATGAAATTTGTATAGAGAGAACAATTTATAGTGAAAAATTATTATTTTTTTAAACGAAAAAAATTTACCTTCAACAATATATTATTTAAAAAAAAAATAAAAAGATTACAAGTTAGATTCACTTTCCTTTTAAATAAATTAAATGTTAAATATTCATATATATATATATTCTTGAAATAACGTCTTCTGGAAATAAATTTCTAAACTGTTATATTTTCGTAGGAGTTTCAGTTTATTCCACATTTTCAATTAACATTTTCATCAAGAATCATCATATTCATAGCTGTACTACTTATTATCGAACTTTCTGTAAGTGAGCAGTCCCACTTTATGTACTTTTTTATGCTTTTACATTTCTAATTTATATTCTTATCTCCTTTCCAATTATCATAACATATAACATATTTTATATACCACATTTTCAATTTCGGTACAATTTATTTATCAACACAGTAAAAAGTATTTCAAACATTTTACCACAATCGTTTACAATATCGATGATCACTTCGGTCTCAAGAAATACCTTAAAACGAGATTCACAAAATCACTCTACAAACTAAAATCGACAGTGATCAAAAAACGTGGAAACCAGCCCAAATTTTTCCGACACTATTTTCAAATAGCTTCGTACACTCACGTATACACAGAGTTACGCATAATATAAACATAAAAGTGGTCGTTCGTTTAGAATTCGTGTAACTTGGTAAGCAGTAATTATCACTGGCCTAGATTCGGCCGCGTTTCGAATAATCGTCAACTCGCAGAATCGAATCTGTGCTTTTCCTTGATGATATTTCCGAGGAATATTCTCGATTCTCTAACACTTACCTAACAGGCAGAGTTTCTATGAGCAGAAATGGACACGTGTCACAGGAAGTTGGTCCGATAGTCGTAGCCGAGTATTAGAGTGTAGCACTCACCTTACCGGAGGTCGAAGAAGTTCTGAGATACGCTGACTCTTGGCAGGTTTCTCGATTCGCTTACGGAAGCCTCAACAAAACTCGGCAATCTAATTTGCTGGTAATTTACCTGCCGATATCTTCAATCATTGTTGTCATAGAAATATTCCTCTGCGAGTGTTCCGCTCGCGTACAAGTAATCCGGGACAAATAAACCGGACGCGTTAACCTTCCTTTCGACCTGGATGGATCCCGTAGAATCGGCTCAGGCTTTACGAGACACCGATAGAAACAAGCATCCTGCGCAATCGGATGGATTCGATGGAATTTGACGTTTTTCTATTTGCAGTAGAAGTTGTTATAATTTTTTAGATATTGACAATTCGTCAGAACAAAATCTGTCAAATAGAAAAAAAAGTTAGCTTATCAAGAGAAATCAAGTATTTCGAAATTTTTGTTTGTACATAAAAAGTGAAAGTAACGTGTTTTGAATTTTAAGGTTAATAGTATTTTACGTAGAATTAAAATAAATACAGTGGTAATACGTACTGTCAATTTGTTATTCGTATTTGAGTTGAAGAAAATAGGATTTCGTTCTGTTTCAAATTTAATACACGCTCACATTGTGTCTTATATTTGTTTCTAGTAAATTGTTTAACAGAATCTTTTCTGCACGCTGTTATACAACAATAATTGACTATCAAAAAGTACCTGCATAAATATACAAAACTAAATGATTTTTCATATGTGAAAAATATCGAATTTCAGGATTGCACAGAATATTCAATTTGTTATAGATAGATACATTATTCGTAAAAAATGACTTTTTCTAATGTCAATAGAGAAACAAGTTTTATAATTTAGAGTAATTGAATCACTTATTGAAGTTAACCTGCTACTCTGTTTATTACGTTTGTAATTATTTCTACTGTTAATACACTTAAGAGTTACTATTAATCGTTGGTCAATAGTGCAAGCTTCTTACTATGTTTACTAACAAGATCTGCAAAATCTATTTGTAAGGTCTACTAGATTAAAATGTTGAATCATATCGTTTACGTGATCTGTCGCTATTTGATTTTTCTATATGAGAACAACATTCATATAACCATGCAGAAAATCGTACAATATGAGACAAATTTACAACATTAATCAATTTTTCATTTATTAGAAGTGATTATTTGAAGGCTACTTTTTAATTACATTATGATTCGTTTATGATTTATTCGAATTCTAGATAGACTGTCCGAGATTTGAATGAATACTGACTTCTAACTGAATTTCACGGATATAAGAAAACCGATTAACACTAAAGGGAGGTTTTCATTGGTAGATTTCAAGGATTGATTTATTGACTGATGGTCGAGCATTATTAGATAAAATTTGTATAGGTGATTCAACATTCATATTCTACATGACAAACATTTGTTCTTTTAGAATATATAAAGAAATATCTAATAATGGCTAAACTAGTTACAGTGATGTCATTTTTAATCGTAACAATACCCTCTACATTTTTCTCCTTTTATCTAACGATGTCACTTCTTGTATCTTAAAACTACAAGTAAAATTTCTAGAAGGCTTTAGGATAATGTTTTTGGCTATTATAGTATATTGTGATTGGAAACGTCTGTAAAAGATATTCTACTAAATTATTTTACGATTTATAATAGCTTGATACAATCTTTGAAAATGAAATACCAATTTTTTTAATTTTATCGTTCGATGTTTCTACCTTGTACATTCGATGTACGTAACAATGTACCTTTGTCATAAAAGAAAGTTCTAATTATTAATTTGTGTCACTTGATCTTTAGAATTTGAAATGTTCTATAGTTACGTATTGTAGGAGACGCCATTTGATCATTCCGATTAAGAGGGATATTTAAATGTATTAAACGAAAATAAAATTAAAACATTAATTAACAATTCGTAGTTGTTTAATCAAAAAAACAAATGAAAAATGCTATCATTAATCAAACTACATTAACAATCTTTTTTTCTGGAATAGTATTTATGTAAATACATTTCAAAAAAGATAAAATGTAAAAAAATGAATTGTAATCAATTATAGAAAATATGTATAAAAATTTGAGTTTATTATTATATGTAAGGTGTTGCTGTTTTTATTAAACTCAATAATAAGGAAATATACGTTTATTTTGAGTTAATAGTTGAATGTAATTTTATTTAAACACATTGTGTAGTTTGAGTAGAGTGCTTCTTCTTCATGTGACGGAAACTAAAACATTTTCAAAGGAATAGTCATCAGTATCAAAAGTTATTTATATATTCATCTATATTGAAACAGTACGTGCTTTGCTTAAGCAACATGTGTTAATAATTAAAATTTGAATAGTTGCATCTAGCAAACAGGGACATATCTTTTAACCTATATAACCTCAATTTTCGTTTTTCTTTATAGAACACGGTTTAAGAAAAGTAATCAAAATACTTTAAAATAAATCAAAATGTATAAATATTTAGAACTCATAAACGCAGGCACTAGTTATGCGAAACATATGAATCGTTTAAGTAATCGAATATTCGGTGAAATAACAAGAACAATTAATCCTAAATCTAGGAAGGTTGTTAAATTATTCAGTGAAAAGCCAATAAACAAACGACCAGAAATTGTTAATTATTATCCACGATTGAAAGAAACCGATGAATTGATGAATCACCTTAGAAATTATGGATTATTCAGAGATGAACATCAAGATTTTAAAGAAGAATACGATCGTTTAAGAGAACTTCGTGGCAAAACTAAATGGGTTCCACCAAAGTTTAGAAAATAAATTATCTTGTTTATTTGAATTTAATGTATTTCATCAAACCATACATTTTGTATAAAATATAATTTATATAACATGGGTTTGAATACCAAATATTACATGTAAATACTATTGTAAAGATACCAAAATACACAGTGCAAAAATAGATTTTTAAAATAAATAATAATAAAAGAAGAAGAAACAGTTACATCCTCAAAATTAAATGGCAATAAAAATTCAAAATCATCTATTTCTATTTGATTCGTATGTTTTACTGTGACCTTATCAGTCTTTGGATTACTACATAACAATGATTTATTAATAATACTGAATGGATTTTGTTCATTCAAATTCTCTACAACTTGATCATTATTTTGAAAACTTCCAATTTCTTCATATTTATAAATATTATTATTTGATTCTTTTGCTATGGGTATATAAGATGTCTTATAGTAACCATCAGAAGAAGATATATTGGTATCATTAAAATTGTTAAAAATAGATTGATATAATTTATTCCAGAAATAGGATTTATTCATGTTTTCTGTAGATGTGTCTTGAGACCTTATTAATGTTTCTGATACATTATATGGTTGTATCTTTGTATCCTCTGGCCAATAACTTATCTGTGAGCCTGATTGTACAAGATCTGATCCATTCCATGAATTATTGTACATACTAGCATTATTTTTAAATTTACAATGTTTTTCATTTAATTTGAAACAAATTTTATAGCAATTTAATTTTAATTAATATATCTTTCATACAATGCAACAATTTGAAACAGATTAATTCATGTTCTATTCAATGACAATTATATTAAAATCTAAGATAACTGTAAATTGAACCTGTAAGCCATTTTAATTTTTCTACCTAAGTGTTAAAAGATACTGTTGTTTTTAAAATTTAATAAAAAATATCGTTAACTTTACTTGTAAACATATACCTAAATGCATCAAGATCAAGGTATGTTTGAAGATCTCCACACTCTAAAGAGAAGTTTGTCCAAGATGCAATTCCGAGTAGAGCTGTTTCACGATTTTGATTCTCACATACAACCGGGGAACCGGGATTACCAGCACAAGCTTTTATTTCATCTTTAAATTCGACCATTGTACAAAATATATTGGTATAATTTGTATTTGTTTTTATCATATATGTACACATTTTCCAGGTATTAAGAATTACTTCATAGTATTGAATTGGCTTAGCTAGAACCCTTGAAGATAATGAAACATAACTTTGCCACCCAAATATTAGACACAGTTTGTAATTATCATATTTGATAGGTTGAACATTAGGTAGAATTATTTTGTTACGGCATATATCAAATGGTTTGGTAAGTTTCATAAGTGCTATGTTATAATCTCGATCAGGAAGAACAGAGTAAGCTTGATACATTGGATATATATATGTAGCTTTTACAGGTACTGTTTGTTTAGAACCAGTTCCATTCAATCCAGTGGCAAATAAAATAATGGACTGTGTTAATAAAATTAATTGATTTGATAGTGGTATTAATATTTTTTTTTTAGTATTAGATAAAAAAATATACATTTCTTTTGTCCTGGACACACTGTGCTGCGGTTAGAACCCAGTCTGGTGAAAGAAGTACTCCTCCACATGGTGCTATTGTTTGAAACTGTATCAACCAAGGAAATTGACCATCTTGAACTCTTTTACCTCTGAGTAATACATTTTTATGTTCCCTCAAATTTATTAAAATCAGAAAGAACAAAATATATAATGACATATTTATTGAGGTAAAAATATAATACATACTTGAATCATGTTTTACTTTTATGTAGCTACTTTCAAGTTAATTGTCTCATGACTGAATACAAGCATACACAATTTTTACTGAATGTAAAATTGTTTATTAAAAAGTGGTTAAAAGTATATCAATAATTATGGTGGTATTTATATTATTTACAGACTA